AGTGGAGCCACCAGTCCTCAGGCCCCTGATGTGGGTAGGTGAAGAGCCTGCTTAATGGGCATAGCAGTTTCAAATGTGATGAACCTGCCACTTCACAGCTGAAACAGTTGAAGTTAGACTTCAGGTATATCCCCTGTTGTACTGCCGTAATGAGGGCCTACGCTGTTGAAATGGGCCCACATAAGACTATGCAGGGGGAAAGGCAGTCAGAGTCCATCTGTCCCTTAGGCCTGTGCCTAGAGAAAGGAGCTGTGCTGACCCCGAGTTCCTGGCTTAGGGGAGCCTCCAGTTGTTTGTTTGTTTCTTTGTTTGTTTGTTTTCCCGTTTGTTAATTTGTTCACTCTCCAAGACCGGGAGAATGGCTCAGGGTGTGTAACAGATCCTACTTCCGGCTTAGGGAAGTTGGCAATTGCCGAAGTTGGTCCAGGACTCAGTGCAGAGCAGGGAGTTGGGAGGTAAATGGGAGAGAGGATTTTCCGTAAGGGGGGTGTTTTTGATCCACACGTTAGCTGGATACAATTACTTGTCTCCCCGATCTAGGGCTGCTTCTCACTGGTTCTGGGTGGTCGTGTAGACACTCTGGTGCTGGGTTTCTCCCAGCGCAGAAAATGCGCCTCCTGAGCTCGGCTGTTTGCCTGCCTCACTGCTCACTCTCGAGCTGATCAGGCCTGAAGGGCTCAGGCTCTGGCAAGGTCAGGTCTGGCAACTCCTTGCTGGTTCCGAACCATCTCTTCCTCCCCCTGCTGCTCAGTCTGGTTCCTGAACTTTGCCTTTGATGTTCAGGGCTCCTAAATTATCATATATAATCGATTCACTTGTTTTTTTGGGTCTTTGTCGTAAGAGGGTCCACCGGGAGCATCTGACTACTCCGTCCTCTTGGCCCTGTCTCCTTGTTCATTTTCTTTTGTACTATCCATTCTCTTTTTCTAGTGGATTTATTCTTTTTTCTATTAATTTACTAAAACTCCAAAATCATGGAAGGCATTATGTCAGTGGATTCTGCTGATGTGCACTCTTACTACCAGTACATATTTTTATCAGGACATTTATTAAATTACCTTATATTGTCTGTGTATTTGTCTGTCTTCTTCAGTGACCTGTAAATTACTTGCGTATGAGGACCGTGTTTTTTTAAATCTTTATGCCCAGCAAAATATCTTTCACGTGGTAGATGCTCACTTGTTGATTGAATGAGATTATCTGTAGCATTTAAGTCTTTCTTTATGCGTTTCATGTGTTAATACTTAGGATTCTTTGTTGCATAGATTATATACTGCCAACAAAAACTACTCTTTTTCTTTAAATTAACTGATATGTAATGTTCATTGGTTTTGCCCATATTCTTATTCTTTCATCTAGTTTATGTGGCTAGAGAAGACTTCTTAGAAGAATTCAACTTAAGAATTGTTTTCAAAAGCCTCTTGCCAAGAGAAAATTTCTTGCATTATGCATAAAGTTTTTTTTGAAAAGTAAGGAGAGAGTCTTTCTGAGAACTTTCCTAACTTAGCAAGTTTAATTCCTCAGAAAGATAGGAAAGCTGATCTAGCCCCATGGGGTTCTCAGCTACTGTAAACAAAAATTAGGTCATGTGACTAAATTTTTTATTTATAATAAAAGACCTAGATTTTTTTCTACATTCTGGAAGTTATGTTTTAAAATGTAGAGATAACGAGGAAGTTCTCATAAGTGTCAATCCTAAATTTTTAAATACAGAATAGTACTTCTACATGAATAGACAAAAACTTAGATACTTGGGAAAGGGAAAAAAGAGGCCTTGATGATGGAACTTGGCTTTGACTTTTCTTTAGTTTTTCTTTGCTTAACTTTTAAAAAGAGATATAGGAAAACTGGATTGTGGTGATTGCAAAACCCTTAAGTTACTAAAAATCGAATTGTACACTTAAAATGAGTGAATTTTATGTAACTTATACAGTAAGTTTTTTTTTTTTTTTAAAAGATAAAGAGATTACTATTTTTCACCGGTTAAATGAAATTTTTGAAAGGGATGAAGTAGTTTTAGTTTTCACGTTTAAGTCTATGATCCATCTTGGATTAATTTTTGTGTATGGTGTGAGATGGGGGTCAGGGTTCATATTTTTCTGTGCAGGTATCGAGTTCTTGCATTATTTATTGAAAAGACTTTATTGTTCTCATCAAATTGCACTGGTGCCTTGGAAAATCAGTCCTCTTTCTCTCTGTCTAATTTTGGATTAAATCCAGTTCCATTGATTTATTTGTGTATTCTTTTGCCAGTAGCTCGCCGAGGGAGGATGCAGTTCGCGAACAAACATAGAAGGCGCGTGTTATTTGTATTAAAATACAGTAGTTGCACAGAGACTGTGGACCACAAAGCCTAAAATAGTTACCCTTTACAGTACAAGTCTATCAACCCTTGACTTAGATAATTGATTTTAGGTCTTGTCTTTAATATATGTATTTAAAGCTATAAATTTGCTTCTGAGTGCTGCTTTGGGTGCATTACACAAATTTTGATGTATTGTGCTGATATTTATTATTGTCTCTAATTTGATTCTGTTATTGTTAGAGAACATATGACTTAAAACCTTTGAAATTTGTCAAGACTTTGCTTTATGGTCTAGCGTACGGTTTGTTTTGCTTCATTTGTGTGGGTGAAAAGAGTGTGTGTATTGTACATTCGTTATAGGTAGTGTTCTGTAGAACTCTATTAGGTAGGTTTGATAATATTCAATCCTACTGTATCCTTACTGATTTTTTTCTTCTTTTTGGTCTGTTTGTCCTATCAGTTACTGAGAAAGGTGTGTTAAAATATCCTGCTATAGTTGCGAATTGGTTTCTCCTTTTTTCTATCAATTTTTGCTTTAAGTATTTTGAAGCTATGTGATTCGAAACGTATACATCTAGGATAGTTATACCTTCCTGATGAATTAAGGCCCCTCCCCCAATATTTTATAACGCTGCTGTTTATAGTACTTTTATAGTACTTCTTGTTTTAAAGTCTGATTACCTGGTAGTGATCTGCACTGGCTTTCTTCTGATTGTTTGCATGTTTTATCTTTTTTTGCCTCTTTTTACTTTCAATCTGTGTCCTTTGATTTAAATGTGACTGTCTTAAATAGCATATAGTTGGGCCTTGTTTCTTAACCATTGTTATAATCTCTGATTTTTAATTGGGCTATTTTGTCCATTTACATTTAATGTTATTACCGATATAGCTGAGTTTTAAGCAGATCATCTTGCTATTTTCTGTTTTTCTCATCTGTTCTTCTTTGTTTATCCTTTCCTGTTTTCATTTAGTTTGGATTTTTCACATTCCATTTTTATCACCTATTACCTGTTTAGATTCACTTAATAGAGACCACAAGGAGCCCTGGTGGCAGCTGCTAACCTACCCAGTGGCTTTGCAGGAGAAAGATCTGCTCATGTAAAGATTAAAAATAAAAACTTGTTACTGCTGAGTTGATTCCAACTCGTGGCAACCCTGTAGGATAGAGTAGAACTGCCCCATAAAGTTTCTAAGGTGGTAATCTTTACAGACGCAGACTGCCACATCTTTCTCCTGTGGAGCAGCTGGTGGGTTTTAACAGCTGACCTTTTTGCCACTAGGGCTCCCCTGTAAAGATTACAGCCTAGGAAACCCTGTGGGACAGTTCTGCTCTGTCACATGGGGTTGCTATGAGTTGAAACTGACGTGACAGCACCTAGCAAGAACAACAGAGATTACAATATGCATCTTTAATTTTCAAGTACAGTTTGAATTAATGCTACACCAGTTCATGAACAGTTAATATCCTTAAAGTTTATGACCTTCATATGTGCTGTAAACCCCCAAAACATTGTTATTTTATTTGCTAAAAACATTCAGTCATCATTTAAAGAAATATGAGAAAAACAGTGTTTTATATTTACTCACGTTTTTATGTTTTCTGGGTTGTTTCATTTGTTCCTGCATCTGTTTTTATCTTGAATCCTTTCCTTTCAGCTTGAAGAACTTCATTTAGTATTTCTTCTTCGAGAAAAAACCACCCGCAATCCTACTTCCTTATATATTATTTGTTAGGGTATATGGGTTGTGTATATATAGTGTATATGTTTTTTTCTAAAACCACTTCTCATCCTGCTTTTCTGTATTGCTAGCATTTTGATTTGTGTTGATATTTTTGGGAAAAAGTTAGAGGTGCGTGCATTAGTCGGAGTTCTGAAATTTCCATCCCTAAGAATTCTAATTCCAGTTGTACCATTTTATGTGGAATCTTATCATGTTCTCAGAATAACTCGTACAGTTTATCTGCTTTCAGTGGCTAATTGGGAGAAGAGAGAACTGATAAAATTATTGCAGTTTTTAAAATAAATCTTACACACTAAAATATAGGTGACAAGTACTTGCCTTCTACTACCTTTCCCCTTTATTTTGGAAGGATGAACAGTGGAGTCTTCTACATTGTAAATGAATTTTTTAATTTTAAAGGTAAAAAAAAATCACCTGGCAGCAACATTGTGAATATAATGAAGATTACTGAATTTTACGCTTTAAAAGGGTTAAAATGTTTTATGTTGTGTGAATTTTGTCTCAAAAAAACCCCCAGCAGACAGCCTGAATAGCTCTTCCTGATGTTTATTGCAATTCTTAATTATAAGGGACATTTATTTGCTTAATTTATTGACAGTTTTTAATCACTGGATTTCTAAAGTTTGATATTGGGTCAGTGCCATTTGATTTTCCAAATTGAGTTTATTTGAAATTTACCAATAGGAAAACGAGCGTTACAAGGTGTCCTGGTTCTTGATTTAATGATAAAAGGATCACTTGTTAAAACTTTACTGGTGAAGTTATTTTGTATATTTTTTGTGAGAAATTGATAGAAAATATAGAAATGTGATAAATGATAAATTTTTGGGAAATAGCTCACTAAATCTGGTGAAGTCACTTTGTTTCCAACAATGTCTTTTATTTTTTTTCCTTGAATGTTGTTTATCAAATTTTATTCTTTTTATTATCATTGTTTCCCTTACGTCTGCAGTCTTGTTGCCAACAGTTTTGAAGACAGCTCCCATGTAGCCTCACCACTAGATCTGAATGGACCCTTAAATGTTGTCATTAAAGAGGAACCTCTGGATGATTATGACTATGAACTTGGTGAGTGCCCAGAAGGGGTCACTGTGAAACAGGAAGAGACAGATGAGGAAACGGATGTATACTCAAACAGTGATGATGATCCCATACTAGAGAAACAGCTAAAGAGGCACAATAAAGTTGATAATCTAGAAGCTGACCATCCGTCTTCTAAATGGCTACCAAGCAGCCCATCAGGTGTTGCTAAAGCTAAAATGTTCAAATTAGACACTGGAAAGATGCCAGTAGTCTATCTGGAGCCCTGTGCTGTCACCAAAAGCACAGTGAAGGTTTCTGAGCTGCCTGATAACATGCTTTCCACATCTCAGAAGGATACGTCTTCCGTGTTGGCAGAATTAGACTATTTGCCTACGTACGTTGAAAATTCCAATGGGACTGGCTTCTGCTTAGGCAAGGAATCAGATAATGGTTTTAGAAAATACTCACCGGATTTCAGAGTGATACAAAAATACCCCTTATTTAAAGAGCCTCAGTGGAAATATCCTGATATATCTGACAGCATTAGCACAGAAGGAACATACGATAACAGTTCGAAGGGTTCGTCTGGGGATTCATTCTCGGGAAAAGAGGACTTAAGCAGAAAGAGAACAACTATGCTTAAGATTGCAACAGCCCCGAAGTCTGTGAATGCTAGTCAGAATACCTCTTCAAATATACCTGGGAAAAGAGGGAGGCCACGGAAATTGAAACTCTCTAAGGCAGGGCGACCACCTAAAAACACTGGGAAGTCTTTAACTTCTACAAAGAATACCCCTGTGGGCCCTGGGAGTACCTTTCCAGATGTGAAACCTGATCTGGAAGATGTGGATGGTGTTCTGTTTGTTTCCTTTGAATCGAAGGTAAGATTGTCATTTTCAGCATTCTAAGAATTGTAATGCTGATTAGTCATTATTGAATTGTATACTGACTGATAACCAACTTAGAATCTAGTTTTTGTAAATGCATTCTCATTTGTGTGTGTGTGTGTGTTTGCTGGGGGGAGGAGGGCAGTGTCTCTAAAATACTGGTTTAGTAATAGGTACCACTTAGATACTTTGTATAGACTTAAAAAAATTAGGTCTGATTAGGTCTCAGTTCGCGAATTTTCTGTTGTGTTTAGCTGGATTTTTTTGTCTTTTGTTCTTTTGGAATTTGCATCATTACAGACTATCGATGTTGTTAGGTGTCGTCAAGTCCTTTCCAGTTCATAGTGACCCTATAGGACAGAATAGAACGGCCCCATAGGTTTCCAGGGAGTGGCTGGTGGATTTGAAGTGCTGACCTTTTGGTGAGCAGCCAGGCTCTTAACCACTGCACCGCCAGGGCTCCTTACAGATTTTAGAAAGACATAAATACCTGAAAACGTTGGCAGACTCTTGGGACCACCTCCCCCCTTTTTGTCAGTGTTTGTACAGTATCATTGGAGAAGCAAATATTAATGGTCTTATCTCACACATTGATAGTGTCTTTGTTTATTTTACTCTAACTCTTCAACCAGATTATTTTTCTATTGCATTTTTATAGGACCTTATTATCCACATTTCACATTTGGCTCCATGGATGTTAAATTCTCTTTATCTGTTCTTTTACCTGTTCCTTTCTTCCTTCCTTGTTAGTTGCTGAGAGACTAACTTTATATAAGCTGTGAGAAATCAGTATATTGATTGGTGTAAGTATAATCTTAGGTTAGTTATTTGAATATACTGTTATGTTCAGAGTTTTTGCTTTCTTTTTTTCCTAATGATTATAAAATGGTGTTAATGTAAAACACCGAGAAAATATCAAAAAGTATGAACAAGAACAAAATTGCCCCTGTTCTGTGAAGCTGGAATTATTATTGTAAATATGATGGTACATTTTCTCCTGGTCTTTAATTTTTCTTTTGAAATCCTGGTTTACTTTTAAACTAACATGTTAAACTAATATCACTTTTAGAAGTGATACGAAGTATACTTTTTTTTGTTTTAAATATAGGAGGCTCTAGACATTCATGCAGTTGATCGGCCAACAGAAGAACCCTCTAGTCTTCAGGCATCAACCACAAATGATTCAGGTATTACATACTAGCATAAATAGGAGAAATGTGTTTGTGGTTTGGGCTCTAGGAATGAAAGACGGCAACGTTCATTCTCAGTGTATAATAGCTTATTCAGTCATTTGTTTTCTGAGCAGGTTGCAGAACAAGAATTTCCCAATTAGAAAAGGAATTGATAGAAGATTTGAAGTCCTTGCGTCACAAGCAGGTGATACATCCTGGTCTTCAAGAAGGTAATACTCCCTAAATGATTTCCAGGACAGCTTTTTACCCCTCCTCTCTTTTCCTCCTGCCTGCCTTCTTCTGCCCTTTCCCATCTTCTATACTCCCCTTCCCTTTCTCTCTCCTTCCTCCCCCGCCCCATCTTTTTCTCCCCTGTCCCCGCTCCTTGATTTCATTTCTTTTAGGACGTATCTTCAGCTTGCATTTTTCTCTTCTCTTCCATAATTCTTCCCCCTTAACTTAAAAACGTGTCTAAAACCAAACCAAACCTGTTGCCGTCGAGTTGATTCCGACTCACAGGGATCCTATAGGACAGAGTAGAACTCCCCCATGGGGTTTCCAATGAGTGGCTGGTGGATTTCAACTGCTGACCTTTTGGTTAGCAGCTGAGCTTTCAACCACTGCACCACCAGGGCTCCAGAAACATGTTTAGGTGAGAAACCTTTCCAACTCTGAAGGTGTTGTCTTCGTTTTGTGAAGGATAATATGCATAAAAAGAGTGTATCACTGTAAGAAGATTGTATTTTCTCTGTTTTTTCTTATAACCCGTATTTTCTCCTCTATTTTTCATCTTTCAGTTGCTTTTTTGTTTGTTTTTTAGGGTATCTCTCTGCCCTTGTATACTTAGTGATGTATTTAGGTCTGTAATAGAAGAACACTTTCCTCACTGTGTGACTGCAAATGTGTATTTTATATATTTAATGTATTGCTAGGTCACTCACTTGTAGCGCAGATGGTTAAGCAGTTGACTGCTAGCTGAAAGATTGATGGTTTGAACCCACCCACGGCGCCTCAGAGACTGGCCTGGTGATCTGCTTCCTACAGGTCACTGCTCCGTATGGAGCAGTTCTACTCTGCACACGTGGGGTTGCCACAGGTCTAATCGATTCAGAAGCTACTGACAACAACAACAAACAATGGTGTATTGCTGGGGACTTAATTTAAACTTTTTATTATTATCTCTATTTTGTTGTAATAGATTATCTTGGCCTTGATTATGTTGCTTTTTTTTTAGAAAAATGAAATCTACTGTAGTTGTTACCTTCCTAGTAACTACTTTTCCACGGTTTGCACTGTACTAAAAGACTGTAGGCCATGCCCTAATTTCTGGTTTCTTATATCTTTGATTTCAGGTGTGCCTCTTGGAGTTTATTGGTTGTTGACTCTTACCAGTGTATTTTCTTTTCAGAGGGCTGCCTCGTCTGTTTATATTATATAGTAGATCATTTATCTGAGAATATAAGCATTAGAAGCTGTCAGATGAAACGTTTACAAGGATTTACATATGATCATTCAGTTTCTGAACCAAGTGGTAATACTTGAGGACCCTTTGCTTTAATGTGAGGCAGCTTATGCTGCAGTGCAATCTACAGTATACAAATTACAGTCTCACTCCAAGTGATAGGGACTGCTACTCTGGATGAACAGTCAGAGCTGTATCATAGTGGTCTTGCTGCTAATAACAGGCCTTTAATGTTAGCTTTCACGTCTGCTGTTTTATTTAAATAATATCCTCTGACTTTCAGCTGTCAGTTAAACTTGCCCTACTTCTCATCTTTCCCCCCGCCACATACAGTTTTTGTTAGTTATACACTCTGATAATGTAAAAATAACATTTATATTGTATTCTTTCAGCTTAATCCCTACATTTGTTTTAGTGTTAGTTCTAGAGTTAAATATATTCAGTGCTCGCTGCTAGCCTTTTTGCTCTGGTTTGTCTGCCTGTCATCTCCTGGTTGGCTGTGGTTTGACTTTTTTTTCCTTCCCTTGACAGACATTTTATGCAAATCTGTTAAGTATTTCCTTTATGGAATGGGGCTCAAAATCGAATGCTTCTGGAGACTAAGCAGCTAACATGACGTGAAATAGACCTGACTTGGGGAGGTTGGGTTGGCCTCTGATAGGCTGGAGTACAAAGGGACAGCTGCGTCAGCAGATTGTCGTCATATGGGAATGTGGCCTCGTATTCTCAGATCTTCCCATTTTTTTTTTCAAGAGAAGCTGAAGTCAGTATTTTTATGTGGTATCTCTCAATTTTTTAATGATGGCAGCTGATATTAGTTTTCTGGGCAGCTAACTCAAAGCTTTAAAAAAAAACCACTGTAATTAAACCCATTGCCAGTCAAGTCGTCTTTTTAACAGTTGAGTCTCTTAAAGGTATGAGGTAGAGTCCTATTTTGGAATTTTTGTGGCAGATTTTTATTCCTCAACCTTTTGTTGTTGTTATTAGGTGCCGTCGAGTCAGTTCTGACTCACAGTGACCTTACAAACAACAGAACGAAACACTGCCCTATCCTGTGCCATCCTCACAATCATTGTTATGCTTAAGCCCCTTGTTGGAGCCGCTGTGTCCACCACGTCAGTCCATCTCATTGAGGGTCTTCCTCTTTTTCGCTGACCCTCTACTTTACCAAGCATGATGTCCTTCTCCAGGGACTGGTCCCTCCTGACAGCATGTCCAAAGTATGTGAGATGTGTAGTCCTGCCATCCTTGCTTCTACGGAGCATTCTCGTCATACTTCTTCCGAGACAGATTTGTTCCTTCTTTTGGCAGTGCATGGTATATTCAGTATTCTTCGCCAACGCCACAAATTCAAAGGCGTCAGTTCTTCTTCGGGCTTCCCTGTTCATTGTCCAGCTCTCGCCTGCATATGAGGCAATTGAAAACACCAAGGCTTGGGTCAGGCACATCTTAGTCTTCAAGGTGACATCTTCGCTTCGCATCACTTTAAAGAGGTCTTTTGCAGCAGATCTGCCCCTCCAACCTTTGCTTCCTTTAAATAGCTGGCTTTGTAATTTTGAAACAGTAAAATATTTAATATTCAGATATTTAGTTTGGCTAAATATTTATAGTAGCTAAATGATGCCAACCTCAAGTCTCTGAAGATAATCAAAGTATTCTTCCATGTCCCTCTCTAAAAATGATGCTTGAAGTAATTTGCTAAATTTCCATTCAATAATATTTCTTGGCCTTTCTCTTAACTGTAGAATTTCATTTTTCTATACAAGATAAACACTTGAAAATATTTTGGAGCTGAAAACTTGAACAACTTGAAAAGCTTTTCGAGCTTACTTTGAAATTTTGGAAGAAATGTTGATTAAATATTGGAAAATGTTTTTATTGTTGGTGGTGGTGGTTTTGTTGCTAAAGTAAAATAAGGTTCTTAATTTTGCTTTCCTTAGTACTATAGTTGTCTGTTTCTTTGTGACACCCACAGTGATCTGTATTCTATCAACTTAACTTGAAAATATCACCTGTTTTTGAACTCGAAAGATATTTTTGTAAAAGCTTCTGCATCACTGTTTACAACTTTTTGTTTTAGAACAGCCTTATATTTACAGAACAATTGGAAACAGTACAGAGAGTTCCCATATACTCAACACCCAGTTTCCTCTTTCATTAACATCTGGCATTGGTATAGTACCTTTGTTAGAATTAATGAACCAATATTAGTATTATTATTAGCAAAGTCCATACTTGGTTCACATTTCCTTAGTTTTTACTTAATGTCCTTTTTCTGTTCCAGGATCCTATCCAGAATACCACATTACATTTAGTAGTCACGTCTCCGTAGGTTCCTCTTGGTTGTGACAGTTTCTGAGACTTTGTTGACCTTGACAGTTTTTTGAGGAATAGTGGATGGGGATTTTATAGAATGTTCCTCAGTTGGGGTTTGTTTGATGTTTTTCTCTTGATTAGACTGAGATTGTGTGTTCGTGGGAGGAAGACCACAGAGGTAAAGTCCCGTTCTCATCACATCACGTCAAGGGTTTATACTGTCAACATATCACTGTTGATTTCACCTTGATCCACCTGGCTGAGGTGTCTTGTCAACTGTCTCCGTTGTAAAGTTATTTTTTTCGCCCCTCTTTCCGTACTATACTCTTTGGAAGTAAGTTGCTGTGCGCAGCCCACACTTTAAGAGTGGGAAGTTATTTCTACCTCCTTGTGGGTGGAGTATCTACATAAATTATTTGGAATTCTTATGCATGGGAGATTGGTCTGTTCTCTTCCATTTATTTATTTATTCAATCATTTACATGTGTATGGGCTGTCAGTTTTAATGTTAAATTCCTTTATGAAGAATAACAATCTTTGAAGAGTTCTCTGCCTCTTCCTTTTTAGTTACTTAAAAATATGATCTGAAAATGGTATTCAGTCATTATTTATCTGGAGTTTTTCTTAACGTGTATCTGCTTTTGTTCACCATATTTTATTATTATTTTTATTGTGGTGAAAATATACATAACAAGACATATGTCATCTCAACAATTTCTACATGTACAATTCAGTGACATTGATTATCTTCTTCAAGTTGTGCATCCATTCTTGCTGTCCTTTTCTAAATCATTGTACCACCATTAACATAACCTTAGTGCCCCCTAAGCGAAAACTCTCCCTTTCCCCCTCCTCCCCACCCCTCGTAACCCCTGGTAATCTTTGGTTTCTATATGTTTGCTTATTTCACATAAGTGAGATCGTACAATATTTGTCCTTTTGTGACTGACTGACTTCACTCAGCATTATGTTTCCAAGGTTCATCCATGTAGTGGAATGCATTAGAACTTCATTTTTCTTTATGGCTGAGTAATGTTCCATTGTGTGTGTACATCACATTTTGTTTATCCATTCATCTGTTGATAGACATCTCATTGTTTCCACCTTTTGGCTATTATGAAGAGCTGCAAGGAACATTGGTGTACAGGTTCCTGTTCGCATTCCTGCCTTCACTTCTTTTATTTATATACTTTGGATTGGGATTGCTGGGTCATATGGTAATTCTAGGTTCAAGTTTTTGAGGAACCACTAAAATGTTTTACACAGTGACTGTACCATTTTACATTCCTACCAGCAATGGATAAGCGTCCTAGTTCCTCCACAACTCACCAACATCTGTTGTTTTCAGTTTTTTCTATCATTGCCATCCTAACGGGATGAGGTGTGGTATGTCTGTATGGGAGAAAGATGTAGCAATCTGCTTCTGTGAAGATTTACAGCCTTTGAAACCCT